TAGCAACGAAGGTTACAAATCGTTCAAATAGTACAAAAGATAGAGAAAGAACACTTATCTCACAAATACATGAACATATCTAGGATGAATCACCAAGAAACTCCTTAGACTTTCCTCTAATATACAACTCACAACAGAACCTTAGTTCTCACAGATATTCACACAGAATATCACAATCAGAGATTAAAACTCTCACACTTTATGGGTTCAAATCAAGGATTTAACAGAGAAGAAAACCAGATGAAGAAACCATAAGTTTTCTCTCAAAAGTCACAGACTGAAGAGTCTCTCGAATAATCCAAAGAAAACAGTGAGGGTAAGTTAAGAGTCATCCAGAAGTTTTAGCCAACAGCCTAGATCTGTCCACGTGTCACCATCTCAGCAATTTGAATGTTATAAAACGTTATAACAGAAAACACGCTTTTGTTAATTCTTTCCTTTTCCTTTCTGGCAACACACCACCAGGGTTCGAATCCCACACAACAGGAGCTGGCTTGTACTTTGGTACCACCACTATTGGTAAAATTGTCGCCACAGGATTTCTTTTGAATGATCAAAACTCTTATTAGCTTTTGATTAAATTCAACACTCTTAAAGCATACAATTGATGCAGTACTGTTACCTGGTTGAGTTGATATAAGAGAAAATCTGAGCTCCATCTTCTTCTATAACAACAACCACAGGAGAAGATCCAAAACTTGATGCCACGGCTCTCTCATTATCGTTGATCAATAGCATCCCAATCGCACCTTGTTTCTTCAACGATTCAAACTTACTTTCTGCTGAATAGTCGTCGTCCTTGCTTTCACATAGAATAATCTTCCCCTTGACTTGGTCATCTTGAAATGAGCCTGGGTTGCAATTTTTGAAACAAAACTCAACCAGTCCACAATTAGCTAAGATTACTGCATAGAGATGATGAAATGGAAATTGCTCTCTGTTTATTTTTGTACCTTGCCTCGCTATCATCAAGAATGTAGATTGGTTTTGCTGAGCTGCCATATATTAATGTGGTAGTTTGGCAAAACAATTAATGTAGTTTGGTAACCTTTTAATATACATGGCAGTTTGTTATTTGATACATTAATGTGGTAGTTTTTTTATTATTTCATGCATCAGATAACGAACTGCCATGTGTATGTCACGTAGGGCGACTATCGATAGTTTTTACCATGAATAGCGTTATTCTTGTTTCAACTAGATAATCAAAACCATTTTAATTGGCTCAATACAGAATTTCTTACGCAATGTTTCGGATGCATATGAAATTTTGTTGAAAGCTGTATTCGATATGCTCAATATTAACATCCATCATATTTGGATCCACAAATATGTGTATGATGCCTATTCTGATAAATTAACATATCATACGATCAAATTACCAACCCAAAATTTCACTTTTGTGACAAAAATAGAAGCAATTTTGAGGTCTAAATAACTAGCAAAAACTATCATAGTGAAATTCTTTAAAGGTCAAACAGAAGATGCCAACACAAGCACGATTTATGCACCCGACAGTAGAAAGTAGAAGTCCAACATGACTCAACCTTGAAAGAAAAGAAGCAACTATCTTTCATGGTGAATACAAATTACTCAACTACCTTTCAGTTCCACAGCTATGCATGCCTCTGTTTGGTGATCCTTTGAAAGCCCGCAAGTTTACATGATCGTGATCAAGTAATAAAGTATTGAATAGAGTGTCGAACACACAAGAACTACGTGTTTGATCGAGTTAAAATTAATTGCAACTTTAATTGAATAACAAATAAATTTTGTGATTAGTTTATACTAATCCCTAAATTGTCAATTAAACTAATGGAATTATATAAATGTGTTTTTCAAATGTGTAAGATGCATTGTTAAGATGTTGAATTCCCCTTATTATTTCATTTTTAGTGTAACAATTAAAGTGATACAATTCTGGCGGACTGTAAGTTTTAATTCGTTTATAGTAGATTGTTGACTTGAAAAGTACCCCGAGTTTTTATCCACTTAGGCCGTGTTTGATTGAGTTTTTTTTCTATGGAAAATTTTTCATTTCCCACTTTTGTGCTGTTTGATAGCACAAATTTTCCAAGAAAAATGTTTTCCCTCCCACCCCTCCACGCGCCCATTTTTCACTTTTTGGCTGAAAATATTTTCCCACCATTTTGGTGGGAAAATGAATTCAAAGTCTGGCCACATTTTTTTATTTTTTTTATTTGGCAATGGTAATAAATTTTATAGCTAATTGAAAAAAAAAATTCACTTTAATGGATAATTGTCATGTAAAATGAAGCCAAACGAACACTAAACTTTGATAAAAAATAGTGAAAAAATAGTTTTCGAGGAATTTTTTTATTTTTTTTTTACTTTTTGACAATGGTAACAAATTTTATAAACAATTGTAAAAAAAAAAAAATTATTTTAATGAGTAATTTTCATGTAAAATAAAGTCAAACGTGAACAAAAAGATCCAAAATTTTAAAAAAATTTCGGGTGAAAAATTATACCAATCAAACACACTTGAAATCATTTTCTCTGCAAATATTTTTTAGACAAATCTTTTCCATGAAAAACATTTTCTTTGCAACCATTTTTCACAATTGCAATGAAACGCACCCTTGGGGTTTGTCTGTGATTATTTCTTGTATTTATTTATTACTTTCATAATTGTGGTATTTCAACATAGGAAAAATTGAATTGCATGATTAACCATCTAGAGCTAATTAATAGTGATTTGTTGATAATTAATTATTAAGTTTTTAATTCGGCATAATCACCTATTCATCCCCTCTTTAGGTGTAGTTTGGGTCGAACTTCGTTTTTTCATTTATTAATAATCAAACCGTCAACAACTTTTTAAGGTCTTGCCATACGTACACCAGTGTTATACCCTGTGTACAACTCTCCTCACAATAGGGAGGCATATGAATTTTTATTGGATGTGGGCTCCCATCTTCTGTGATAGGGGTGTACACCGGGTTATCAATCCCGTTCTACAAATAGCAAAACTCAATTTTTAATTAACACTAAAAATATCAATCCCGTTCTACAAATATCTTTTGAAAAAGTTCGATAAAAAATTGTACTCACAATAGCAGTGTCAATGGACCCCAAGTCTATGAAGTAAAATTACTTCTAAGAAAATTTTTGACCTCAAATATGTTTAGGTAACTAATTTTTTTATTTTTTGTTTATTTTTGAGCTAAAAAGTAATAATGTATTATTTAAACTACAGTTTTCAAAATCGACCTAGTTATTGACCTTGCCAAAGCACGTGATCATGGGACGACTCATTATTGATTCCAACGTTTCTTCAAAATATATTTTTAATTAAAATAAAAAAAAATATATTATAAGTTTAAATATTAAGAGCTTGTTTAGGATATCATTTTCCAAGTGAAATTTTTTTTAGAAAATTATTGATTCCTTTCCATATTTACATAAAAACTTCTTTCTAATTTACATCCATATAAAATTACCTTTTATAATCGTAGTCAAACATGTAATTTATCTCAATTAAACAGTTGTTTACCTAATTGAACCGCCCTACCCCCAAAATTTCCATATTGCTTCCCACAATCCCACCAGTAGTTTTCCATATTTTCCTCCCTCTATAAATAGTGCGCCGCACCATGCAAATCTCTCATCGCTTTCGTTTTGTGTCTTTAAAGTCTTCACAAACACTAAATCAACAGCTCAAAGCAAAACGATGTCGAACGAGAGCAAGAAGATAACGCTGAAGAGCTCTGATGAGGAGGTTTTCGAGGTGGAGGAGGTGGTGGCGATGCAGTCTCAGACCATCAAATATATGATCGAGGACGACTGCGCCGGTAACACCATTCCCGTTCCCAACGTTACCGGAAATATACTCTCCATGGTCATTGTATACTGTAAGAAGCATGCTGAAGCCGCCGCCGCAGAAGCCAACGACGATGTTGCAGAGAACGACCTCAAGGCTTTCGACTCCGAATTTGTCAAAGTCGACAAGGACATACTCTTCGAGCTTATTATGGTATACGCTTTGATTTTACCCTTGTTGATTCTGTTTTTGTAGGATTATGGTGGATTCGGTTGTGAATTTTGCGTCGGGGTTTTACTAGGCTGAAATTGGTTTGATCGTGTCTAGAATTGCTTTTATCATTGTTGTTGTTGTTGCCATTGCTAGTGCTGTTTTGTGCTAATTTCGCAGAATTATGTGTAGATGTGTTTATAAATCGCGTTTTAGGGTTTATAAATGGATTCTGTTATGAATTGTGCGTCAGGGTTGTTAAATTGAAATTGGTTTCATAATATCAATATTTAAGCCTAATATAGAATTTTACAGATTATAGGTGCATTGTGTTTTATGAAATAGGGCTTTGAACGGTACATTGTTGGGTCAATGTAATTGATTCATGGGTTAAGGATAATTAGATAACAAGCTTGATGGTGCTGAACTAATGTATTTAGGCATATAAAGGAGTGGGGAATTTTCATTTGGGTTCTCATATAAGCCAAACATCTGGGGTAAAAAACACTTTTTTGACACCGATCTTTGACCTTTGACTGGTGTTTCGAAACGGTGAACATCATTATGTTTTCAGTTAGTCACTGTACTTTGAATTTTTTTCCAATCGGTCATTCTCTTAGTTAACGTTAAATTAATTGAGGAGCTTGCTTGGTAAACGATGTTGTTCACGTGGAGACTTGTTATCCTCTATATCATATGATAGCTTTTAAAACATGTTTGCCTCTAAATTGCATGATAGCTTTTAAACTCGGGTTGATGTGGCAGCTACAGGGAAAAATTATCTTGGCTAATGGCTCACGAGGCTCCACGTAAACAATGTTGTTTGCTACACAAGAATATTGGATAATATAACTAACAGGATGACCAATTAGAAACCATTTTTCAAGTATAGTCACTAATCGTAAACAAATAGAAGTACAGTTTCCATTTTGAATGTGGTCCAAGTTCAATGACAGATCAACCCGTATAATGTTGTTGGCTCCCTTCAAGTACTGTTGAACTCTGTTTAGTCAGTTTGTTCCATCGAATTTCTCCCGACTGTGCTTCTCACGGCATTAACTAATCCTTTTCACCATCTGATTTTTCAGGCTGCTAACTATCTGAATATCAAGAGTCTTCTAGATCTTACTTGCCGAACTGTTGCAGACATGATTAAGGGGAAAACACCAGAGGAGATTCGAAAGATATTCAACATAATAAATGACTTCACTCCCGAAGAAGAAGAGAAGATCCGAATAGAGAACCAATGGGCTTTTGAGTAGAAATATTTCAGTATTTTTTATTTTTTTTAAAAAAGTTGTTCCTATGTCAGTATTAAATTTCACTTCATTTTGTAGAAATTGAAAGTTTTTAGTCGAATATAGACGCTTATATTTTGTGCCTATTCTGTTATACATTTCGGATATGAAAAGGAGAACGAGAAAGTAAGTACTGGAGACTTTGTAAGATTATAAATTGAAATGCTGATAAAATGCGATAATTGAAATAATTACATAAAAAGATTGGAAAGGTTTCGGGAAATTCGGGACGGGGACCATGTTTTCCATTTTTCGTCCGGTTTACATTGGGGCGTGAATTTTCTACTGCATTTGGGTGGGACTATGCGGACCACGGGTGCGAAGTTTTATCATTCCTAGTCAAGCATTTGATAGTAAAAGAATGAGGTTTGAGGTTTTAATAATAATAATAATAATAATAATGTGGTTTGAAGTGCTTGTGATCTTCATTTCTTTGTCTCCAATGTGCTAAGCATTTTGCTGCACGTTCTATAACTTCCAAAATCACAAGTACATACATACTATTCAATTTTATTTAGTACAAGTGTTTCTAATAAATCTGGAAATCATTTTACTGGCTATCGTTCGATATTGCTACAACAAACGGACTTCGAACTTTGTACTTTCCATTGGTCCATGTAATTGAGCCGAACATGTCCTCTTTGGCAGAAGACGTTTGCCTGAAAGTCACTTGATAAGTTACCTTCTTACTGTTCTTTGTGAATTGCAATTTATTTGGTTCCACTTCAACTTCAACTCCACTAGGTGCATCTACGAGAGCAGTGTAAATTGATTCATCTTGGTCAACGTTAGTTACGGTTCTGATCACTTTCTTGGTTTCTTTTTGTTTCAAGTTTGATATGGCAATTGATGGGTAGTTCATGTTGGAGATGGAATCAGAATCTGATTCGGTGGGGCATGAAAAATTAGCTGGAAGAGACGACGCGATCTGGTTTATCTTGGTTATGTTATAGCCAGTATAGCAGAGGTATTGCAAGTAGTCGGTGATTTCAGTTTCATAGACTAACCCTGGCTGCAATGGCCCAGGTGTTCTTACTTCCCCTGCACCTATATCATAAGGCGTAGCTTTTGACCCGGAATTTGTAGTTATTGGTGCCTCTAAATTGTTTGTCTGAATTGCTGCAGGTAAACAAATGGATCAAGTTAAGGTTAGTATGCTTGGTAAAATAAGTAACTTAATAGTAAGTTTGACTTAATTTTAAGCACAACCAAACATGCTGTCACTTTTGATTTTAATTGTGCGTGCAAGGTTTATGCTCTAGGGTTATGGTTAATCT